TTTAGTATTATTAAAAAGATGGTGTCGTGACAAGAAAGAAAAAGATGTAAAGAAAAAAATATATATGTAGGGCATTTACCAACTGCCTAACAAGTACTGTTTTCTTGCCTCAGATGGTCCTCGGAAGCCAGCACAGATAAATTTGCCTGTCATCACAGTTTTTTAAATTATGTTTGTGGTTTACAATTTTTACTTAGCAGTTCAATAGATTTTTAAAATTTCAACATAATCTTTAATATTCGCACTTCAAAGGTCATTTTAGGGCTTCCCAGGTGGCTCAGGGGTAAAGAATCCGTCTATCAATGCAGGAGACATGGGTTCAACCTCTGCTCCAGGAAGATCCCACATGTGATAGAGCAACTCAGCCCAGGAGCCACGACTACTGAGCTTATGTGCCACGACTACTGAGCTTATATGCCACAACTACTGAAGCCCGAACGCGCTAGAGCCTGTGCTCGGTAACAAGACAAGCCATCACAATGAAAAGCCCATGCACTGCAACTGGAGAGAAGCCCCTGCTCATCACCGTTAGAGAAAAGTGACAAAGTCCCAGCATAGCCAAATAAATTAAATTGTTTTTAAGAAGATCATTTTAATGACTTTATGCCATTCCTTCATGTGGTTCTCCCATACTGTTGGTAAGTTCTTTTTCTAATGGACGTGTAGGTTGGGTCCAATTTTTCTCCATTGACAACAATGCAACTGTGAATATTTTTAGCAGCTGCGGCTTTTGCATCTTTTAAACCTTTCCTTTGGGATGAATTCCAGTAGAAGTTACATATCTTGAGAACATAATAATCTTGTGGCTTTTTATTCCTGGGTGTTATTGTGTTGCTTTTCAAAACGGTGACACCAATTTGCAGTGCCTTCAGCAGCAGGGTAAGGATATGAACTTCTCTGAATGCTTGCCAAGGCTGGGTGTGGCTTTAAAAACACTTTTTTTTACCAACTTAGTAAATATGACCTCCTGGTGCTGCCTTAATCAGCTCTTCCTGGATGATGAGCAGTGATAAGCCTTTCCAACATGGTGGTTCAGCTTGACAAATCTCAGAGCCCCAGACTGTCAGATAGAAACGGTATGATACCACTGCTCATAGTGTCATTGTGATTTTTTTTTTCTAATTCACACAATCATTTGATTTTTATTTGCATACTTATGTGCCTCGGGTACAGGCAGTACTTTCAAAGTACCCAAATCATAGCATGACTTGGGAGCTTTGACCTGAGAACTTAAAATGTTTTCATATTTCCAGTATTGCTCAGAACTGCTCTAAATGAGTCTTTTAAGGGTAACTTGACCATCCAACAGTATAGGTACATGTAGAGGATAATGTAGGTTTGGTTCCAGACCACTGAAATAAAGTGAATATTGCAATAAAGTGAGTCACACTAATTTTGGTTTCCCAGTGCATATAAAAATTAGGTTTACATCCCTTGTGGCTCAGCTGGTAAAGAATCCGCCTGCAGTGCAGGAGACCTGGGTTGGATCCCTGGGTTGGGAAGATCTCCTGGAGAAGGGAACAGCTACCCACTCCAGTATTCTGGCCTGAAGAATTCCATGGACTGTATAGCCTGTGGGGTCATAAAGAGTCGGACACGACTGAGTGACTTTTGCTTTCATGCTATAGTCTATCCCATGTGCAATAGCATTATGTCTTTTAAAAATGTACACATCTTTATTTATAAATGTTTTATAATTTGTAATGACCCAAATGGAAAAATAATGTAAAATGCATTGATTATTGTATGTGTATAGCCGATTTAGTTTACAGCAGAAAGAACATAACGTTGTTAATCAACTATACGCCAATGAAAAGCAAAATAAAAAGTTTACCAAAAAACCATTTTATTACTAAAAACGCCAACCATCACCTGACAACCCAGCAATGCCAAAAATCTTCAGTTTGTTACAAACCTCAGTATCTGCTAAGTGCAATAAAGCAAAGCATAACAAACAAGATGTGCCTGTAATTACATTACCTGCGGAACCCATAAATAAATTAATTTTATCCCAGACACAGCTGTCAGGGTTGTGAATATGTAAATTGTTTCCAGATTTTCACACCTGCATGCAAGAATTACATCTTGCAGGAACCTGCTTGGTTTAAGAGATTTAATTAAGACAGGAATGCTTGAGTCTTCTTGGGACAAACAAAAGGATTACGGCATTTCATAGATAATATAGAAAAGAACTGGTAACATGTCATTGTCCCCAGACTTCACATGTGTCGGTTGTATTTTCTTGCTGTACTTCTATTACAATGTGAACTTCTTAAGGCAGCGCTTTCCACAGGCTAACGAACACCAACTGCTTGACTCTGATTTCTTTGTATGCGAATGATCGTTCTATGTTCTCTGTTCACATGTACTGGACTCTCAATGTTTTTCCTCTTCTTTTTAAAAAACATTATTTATTTGGATTCTTCAGGTCTTAGTTGCAGGATGTGGAATCTTCCTTGCAGCATGCCGGATCTTTTTTTGTTTGTTTCAGCGCACAGGCTACTCTCTAGTTGTGTCCTGAGGGCTCCAGAGCACGCAGGCTCAGTGGTTGCGGCATATGGGCTTAGTTGCCCTACAGCATGTGGCTCAACGGTGAAGAATGTGCCTGCCAATGCAGGAGACACAGGAGACGCAGTTTCGATGCTTGGGTCAGGAAGATCCCCTGGAGGAGGAAATGGCAATCCACTCCAGTATTCTTGCCTGGATAATTCCATGGACAGAGGAGCCTGGCAGTCTACAGTCCACAGAGTCACAAGAATTGGACACAACTGAGCATGCAGGCCCGCATGTAGAATCTCAGTTCCCTGACCAGGGATCAAACCAGCATGCCCTGTGTTGATAAGTGGATTCTTAACTACTGGACCACCAGGGAAGCCCCTTCTTTTCTTGTTTATGAACTCTTTATATATTGCAGCCATTCTACCTTAACCTCAGGTTTCCTGACATTTTACTTTGTTCACAAAATTTAGACGATTGTCAAGTTGGTGGGTTTTGACGTCTGTTCCTTCCCAGAGCTGTCCTGGGTGGCATTAGGGCCTCCGTCCCTCCAGCACTTCTGGAAACAAAGCGGGCAGACATACAAGTCTGCCGGTTTACGGGTCAGAGTGATCTAGCTGATTTGGTCTCGGACTCAGTCAGCTTTCCTGATGTCTTGGTTCCCTGGGGACTGGGCTCATTGAAGCATGTGTCATAATTCTTTTGAAATGAAAGGGCTCAGAAGCTCCTCATTCTGACGGCTCTTGCCTCAATCTAAGTCAGTTTTCTTGATTTTGTTGTGGCTGCTATTTTTGCTTTCTTTTTTCCTTTTGCAGGAAATTCATTTATTTATTGACTTTCCAGCCTTCTGTGTGTAAGACTCTGGGTACGGGGATATAATGGTGAGTGAAACAGACACATCCCTGCCACAGTAGAGCCCACAGTCTATTGGGAGATGCACACTGGCCAAACAGCATCTAAAGAGTATTTTTTTTTCCTTTATCTTTATTAGTTGGAGGCTGGTTTCTAAAGAGTATTTATTGAGCATCTACTGTGTGTCAGGCTGTCTGCTGGGGACTGGGGACACCCAGCTGAGTGAGTAGCAATGACCCTCATCATTCTTAACCAAATAACCACACAAAGAGATGGCCGATGATAAAGGAAGCAGCAGTTTCCAGCCCCCACTCAGTCGGGTCTAGAGTTGGGCTGAAAAAGAGGGTCCCTCCCAGTCAGCTGGGTCAGTGTTTAGCGAACCCCTGTCTTGGTTTGGCCCACCTTCAGGGCCCCATCTGCCCCTGCCCCACCCAAGCAGCTGTCTCTTATCTGATGGGTGGGAGAGGTGTCAGGAGAGCTGAGGGGTGGGACCTATTCGGGGAGGATGGGAGGCAGAGAGCAGGGAGGGCCATATGGCCTCCCTGTCACCCTGCTACTTTCTCTGACCTCTGCTGGGGCTTGGCCTCCCGTCGTCCAGAGTTCACGGGGAGGTGAAGTTTCCTCCAGGGAGGACCGGGAAGGCCCCTTCCTCCCCTTCCAGGGCTCGCTAGGATCTGAAGAACCGTCCATCCAGCTCTGTCCTGTCCCCTCCCCGGCTCTAGGGACCAGGCAGCAGGGGATCCTGTGACTGTCCTGTTCTGGGCACGGGCTTAGTGGAAGGATCCCTGACTCGGGGACCCTAGGGCTCAAGCCAGACCACTGTGACTTCCCCAAGCTGGAGGGACTGTATTTCCTTAGGTGGCCCCTGCTCCCCTCGAGGTGCAGAGATGGGCTCAGAGCTCAAGTTCACTCTGTGGTCCCAGGATGATGAGCATGGCCATCCCCCTGGGCACACAACCATCTGCTGTGTGTTCTGTGAATGCTCTGCAAATGCCCGGGGGCTGTCACTGGCTTTCTACTCATTCTTGTGAGGAAATTTCACCCCATCACTTGGGGCCTTGGCGATGTCTCCATGGCTTTTGGAGCCAGATAATTCTGGGTCAGATTCCCTGATCCGCCTCTATGCTCCATAGCATCCTGGGCAGATTTACCTCACTGAGCCTCAGTTTTCCCCACTTGTAAAATGGGTTTACCCTTGCCCTTCAGGGCGTGGTGCTGATGGTGTGGCCCCTGGTGGTGGATCCTGACAGCAGCTGAGGGGAGGGAGGGGGGTTTGCCACCAGTGGCTGCACTCAGTCTGTCATCAGCACTGGCCTGGGTGCCATGGAGATGGTTGAAGACAATCAGGTAAACTGAGGCTTTGCTTGCAGGACCCTGCCTTCTGGGAGGGAGGCTCTGCCAGCAAGTCTCATGTCATTCTCACAAGAACCTGGTGGTGATGGAGGCAGAAGTAGTATTAGCCTCTTCCAGGTGAGGGCTTTAAGGTTCAGAAAGGTTGTCAAACTCACTCAAGGCTGCATAGCTGGGCAAAAGACCCAGCTGGGATCCTCCACAGGTTGCAGGAGTCTAGAATCCACCTTTGAAACAGCCAGGAGGGGCGTTTGCTGAGAACCCAAGCCAGTCTGGGACCCTGAAGCCAGGAGCCAGAAGGGATGAAGTTTTGTGCGCCCGTTTTGCACAATCCTGTGAGCCTAGAATTACCTACCCCACCCCCGTGCACCCCCCCCCAGACCCCAGGACAGTTGCTCCAGTCTACTGGGCTCTGTCCCCAGGCCTGTCCTTTGAAACTTGGCATTGGCATTGGGGGAGGGCGAGAGGAGAGAACTGGGCCCCCGGGAGCTGCTGTCACTCTTCCCGGCCCCTGGGAAGAGCGGGTGGGCCAGGCCGGGCTCCATTGTTGCTCGCTGACAGGACGGTGCAGCCACCACACACTTCAGCTGCCAACTCGCCGCGGTCACTCAATCCATCACTGAGGGCGGGGGCTCCTGGCCGGCTGCTCGCCTGCAGTGTTGTTCTAGTCTGCCCGGAGCTGTGAGATAAACGGGGCATGAACTGGCCCCCTGGCAGGGGGTCAGCCCCTTCTGCCCTCATTAAAGTGCCAATCAAGAAGAGGAATGGCGACAAGCAGCGGAGCTCAGCCTCCCCGGCTGGGCCACGGGGCAGGATCCAGACTCCCCCCACCCCCCACCCAAGAGCGCCTGGAGAATTCCACCCCTGCCCGAGTCTCTGGTTGCAACATGGCCCTTGGTTTCCCCTGCAATGAGAGCAGCTGGGGGAGCTGGAAATTCAAGGCAGCAAAAATCACTCCTGTGGCTTGGGTGGCTGTCTGGTTACCTGCTGCCACGCTGCAAGCTCCCCAGAGCTTAGTGGCTTAAAACAACCCCCATGTTATTATTGCTTGAATCTGAGGGTTGACTGGGCTCAGCGAGGTGAATCTTCTGCTCTGTGTGATGTCAGCGGGAGTGGCCACCATCTAGGGTGCCACTGGACTGGAAAGCTTCTGCCCAGTTCATGCACAAGTCTGGTACATTTGTGGAGACACCTGGAGGGCTGGGCTCACCTGGTTCACTGGGGTGATTGAGTGACTCACCCTCCATCCCTGCAGAGTCTCAGGGTTTCTCCCTGCCCATGTGACCCCTACATGTGGTCTCTCCCACAGGGTAGCCACCCTACTTACCATGACTTAGGGCTCCAAAAAGTAGAGGGCCTGGTCCTTCTAAAGGTATTGACCTGGAGCAGGCACACCATATCCTAAGGTGAGCCATGGGCCAGCCCAGATTCAGTGTGGGAGGGGACACCCAGGGGAGTGGATGGTGGAAAGTATGGTCTCTTGCGGCCAGACTGGCTACCGCAGTGTGATCCACAGTAGGAGTGCTTTGCTCAGCAAAGGGGTGAGACAAATTTTATTTTCTCCTGTGTCCTTTGCCTGGAGGCCAAGGGGACCAAGAGCTTCCTGGTGAGGAGAGGCTGTAATTCTCCCCTCCCACTGATATAAACTCCCTCCACAGTTCACCTAGAAAAATCTCCCAAATCCTATAATAAGACATGTCTTTTTTTAAAAAAATGATTAATAGCATGATTTTGTATTCATTTCAAATATTACATAACTGTTACCATTGCTTAATAATATGCCAAGCATAGCTCTAAGCAGTTATATCTTATTAAATTTTCCCAACAGCTCTATGGAGATGACATTGTGACTCTTGTTTTACAGAAGTATCAGTTATGTGGGCTAAACTGTTGTAACAAACAGATTCCTAAATAGTTTTTAACCCAAATATGATAGCAGTTTGTTTCTTGTTTATGTAACCAAGATGAGGCTTCCTGGTTGGCAGGCAGCCGTGCTCCATTTAGTGTTTCACAGACCCAGGCTCCATCCAGCTTGTGGCTCTGCTGTGCCCTCTGGTTTGAACAGATCATTCTAGTTGTTATGAGAAAAGACCATGGTGTGGGCACATGGGGGACGGAGCTGGGGTTTGGTGGATATTCCCCATTTGCCCTCTAAATCCATTGTCCCTTTTCCCACCCTCCTTTCTGCCCCAGGGAGGCTAACCTCAACCTCCATGGACTATTCTAAAGGACTCCCAACATGCTGACTTCTGATTAGATGCAGCCAATGGGAGACAAAGGCAGGAAGTTAGAGACTTCCCTGGCTCTCTCTCTATTGGCCTATAGTTGGACAATAAATTACTTTTCCTACCAAAGTCTATGGCTTCCTTTAGGTGGCCCTTTTTAGGACTTATGGCTTCCCTGGTGGCTCAGAGGTTAAAGCGTCTGCCTGGAATGTGGGAGATCCAGGTTCAATCCCCGAGTTGGGAAGATCCCCTGGAGAAGGAAATGGCAACCCACTCCAGTACTCTTGCCTGGAGAATTGCATGGAGGGAGGAGTCTGGTAGGCTATAGTCCATGGGGTCGCAAAGAGTTGGACACATCTGAGCGACTTCACTTTCACTTTTAGGACTTATAATTCTCTATCTGTCCTAGGGGTGAGATATTTCACTATCTCTTGTTGGTACTCTTGATCCTACCCACAACTTGTAATCAGCTCCTTTGATGACCTCTGTGTAATCATATCCTCTGAATGTGCCATCAATTACCTGCTGTGCATCTGACTGATACAGAGGCAAGGGTGGAAGCAAGGAGGCTGTTTAGGAAACTATTTCAATAATCCAGAAGAGAAATAAGGGAGGATATACTTCTGAGCTGAGCGACAAGATTTTCTGGTGGATTGGATGTGGTGGTTGTTGTTCAGTTGCTCAGTTGTGTCCGACTCTTTGCAACCCCACAGACTGCAGCACGCCAGTCTTCCCTAACACCATCTCCTGGAGCTTGCTCAAGCCCATGTCCATTGAGTTAGTGATGCCATCCAATGATCTCATCCTCTGTCATCCCCTTATCCTTCTGCCTTTAATCTTTCTATCAGGGTCTTTTCCAGTGAGTCAGTTCTTTGCATCAGGTGGCCAAAGTATTGGAGCTTCAGTTTCAACAGCAATCCTTCCAATAAATATTCAGGGTTGATTTCCTTTAGGATTGACTGGTTTGATCTTAAGGGACTCACAAGAGTCTTCTCCAAAACCACAGTTTGTGAAGTTTGAGTAAAAGAGAAGTTTCCAGGATGAATCAAAAATTATTGGCTTCAATAACTGGAAGATTGGAGTTATAAGATGGATAAGACTAAGGGAGAGGCAGATTTCTGAAGGAAGAAATTATGAGTTCTGTTTTGGGCTTGTTAAGTTTGGGATGCTTTTCAGATTTAAGTGGAGATGTTGAAAGCGCAGTTGGAACTCCAAGGCCACGTTCCAGGGCAGAGATCCAGGCTTGAGATATACATTCAAGAATTATGAATGTGTAGAGGGTATTTGGGACTCAATGAGTTAACCAAAGAGAGTATGGAAGGAGGTAGGAAGAGATTTGATAGTGAGCTCTGAGGTTTCCCAACATTTGGAGACCAAGAAGATGAGGAAGAAGCAGCAAAGAAGACTGAAGTAGGTGAAGAAGCAAAAAACAGTGGTCTCCTGGATGCCAAGTGGGGAAAATATATTCATTGGAAGGACTAATGCTGAAGCTGAAGCTTCAATACTTTGGTCACCTGATGCAAAGAGCCAACTCATTGGAAAAGACACTAATGCTGGGAAAGACTGAGGGCAGGAGGAGAAGGGGGAGACAGAGGATCAGATGGTTGGATGGCATCACTGACTCGATGGACATGAGTTTGAGCAAACTCCAGGAGACAGAGTGAAGGACAGGGAAGCCTGGTGTGCTGCAGTCCACGGGGTCACAAAGAGTTGGACATGACTTAGTGACTGAACAACAACAGCAACAGCAAGTAGGGAAAAAGCATTTTAAGAGGAAGAGAGTGATCATCCATGGAAAATGATGCTGCTTGTTCAGGTTAGATGAGACCTTGTAATGAAGACTAGATTGACAAGGTGGAGGTCAGTTATGACCTTGGAAATGGTGGAGTCTGGAGGATGAAAACGTAATTGGAAAGGGATTAAAGAAGAATAGAGAAATTTCTGGTTCTATCCATGGCAGAGTAGCTGGTATTGGATTTAATCTGTCTGACATAAATAAGTATAAAACAAATTAGACAAAATATGTGAAACAAACATTATCAAGCTCTGGACCACAGGCAATGCAAGGCTATCTACCATCCTTAAGAGAAGGGAAGCAAATGAAGCTGAGCTCCACATTCACCTTGACCTTTTGCCGAGGAGTAGCTTTTAAATTGTGGCAAAGGGAAGGAAATTCCAAGCAAAGAGTTAAGAGTCTCACTGGGTGGTCAAGAGAGTTCAGAGTTTAGGGTTGTTAAGGCAGTAAGAATTTGTGGGGAGAAAACCAAAGAAAAAAGAACCACAGAGCAAAAGCAGCAGAAATGGAGTCCCAAATTTTTGCACATGGATTTCCTAAGGTCCATAGCTAAATCCTAAAGTGTTCACGCAGATGGCAAGACTTCGCAAGGCCTAGCAGAAAATGTGCTTGGAGGCTGAGGGTTGAACAGAGATTTCAGAGGTTTCAGTGCAGGAGTGATATTGGAGTTCTGAGCCACCCTTAGAGGAGAGACCTTAGTGAATACTCTAAGAATACAGCTGAAAATCCAGAAAGGCTACAGCCTAGAAGTAAAGACTTCACCCTAGGACAATAGAGGAAGCTGAAACAAAGTCTAAAATCTATTATCAGTAAGATCAAGATAATCTTCCAGTTACTCAGCTGCCTATCAGAATTAGAAAAACAAAACAAAACAAAACAGTCTTCAGAGGATGATGTTATAATCCTGAATCTTCACAATGTAACATTTAAAATGTCCAACATATTTTTTAAAAAATTACTAGACAAAGACAGAGGCAGGAAATGTGATCTATTGCCAAGAGAAAAAGCAGTCAACAGCAGTAACTCTAGGTGTTGGAATTGGCAGGCAAAGATGAAAATATATAAATGTACCAAAGGATTTAAAGGAAAAGGTAAACACAACCTTTGCCCAAATGAGGAAATTCAGCATAGAAATAAAATGCTTTAAATGAAAATTCTTGAACTGAAAAATACAGTATCTGAAATGAAGAATTCTTTGGACTCACTTAATAAAATGTTGGACATGAGAATTAAAAGGTTCTGTGAACTCAGTGACAACTCAACAGAAAGCAGACTTTATTGCACTGCCCTTCACAGATATTGCGCATCTTATAAATTGAAGGTTTGTGGTAACCCTGTATTGAGCAAGTCTATTGGTGCCATTTTTCCAACAGCATTTCCTCACTCCATGTCTCTGTGTCTCATTTTGGTAATTCTCACAATATTTTAAAATTTCCCATTATTGTTATATTTGTTATGGTGATCTGTGATCAGTGATCTTACTACTGCAAAAAGATTAAGACTCACTGAAGCCTCAGATGATTGCTAGCATTTTTTAACAGTAAAGTACTTTTTAATTAAGGGTTTCTCTGGTGGCTCTGACAGTAAAGAATCTGCCTTCGAT